TGGCTCCCAAGACAGCCCACACGGAGCCCCAAGACACCCCCATGAAAACACACTCGCGCTTAGAGGCCCCCCTAAGACGGCCCAGAACAGTTACATGACGAACGCAAAAGACTTCGACCGTGACGGAGATGATGATGACAATACTGATCATGATTGTGTTCGTTATGATTGTGGCGATGATGATGGTGATGATGCTGATCATGATGATAATGATGGTGATGTTTATCATCATGATGATGATGATAATGATGATGATGATGATGCTGATGATGATGATGATGGTGATGATGATGACGATAATGATGATGATGATGATGATGATGATGATGATGATGATGATGATGATGATGATAATGATGGTAATGCATAGAATTGTGATGATGATCAGGGTTCTCAGCATGATGGTGATGATGATAATGATGATGATGATGATGATGATGATGATGATGATGCTGATGATGATAATGATGGTGATGATGATGATGATGATGATGCTGATACTGGTGATAATGATGGCGTAGATGCCCGCCAGCCCCCATTTCACGTGTTCCGGTAACGTTCCCTTTGAGCACGTAAATTTACGATGATGTTGGCGATGCCGATGACGATGACGAGTCTGAGGATGAAGATCATGATGACGACGGCGTTCATGAAGATGATGAACACAACGATGATTAGACGATGATGACGATCTTGATAATGCTGAGCATGCAGCATGCACCAAGGGCGCCCTGGAGGGCGCGAAGTTATTCGCGCTTCGCGGTTCGGCTCCGATTCCTCATCCTCCTTTTCTCCCCTGGGAGGTGGCGCGAGAGCGCGAAGTTATTTGCACTTCGCGCTTCGCGCAGTGCGAAGCGCGAAGTTGGGAGCCCTTGATGCACATGATGACCACGCCTTTTCGGAGCACATTCAATCACGATGATGACGATGGCGATGACGATGGCGATAATGATGATGATGATGCTGATGCTGATGATGATGCCCGATGATGATGACGATGACGATGATGATGTTGATGTTGATGTTGATGTTGATGTTGATGTTGATTATGTGAATAATGGTGATGATGATAATGATGATTGTGAGGATGTTGAGGGTGGGGATGTCCGCCAAACCACATGTCACGTGTTCTGGAAACGGTTTCGGGAGCACGTAACCTTACGAGGACGGTGACGATGGCGATGACGATGACGATAACGAGGGGGAAGTTGAGGATGATGCTGACGACGGCTATCATGAAGGTGATGAAACAGATACTGGCTACAAGATGATGATGGCGTCCTTGGTGATGCTGATGATGCACATGAGGTTCTTGATTAGAACGATGAGGATGACAATGCTGATGACGCTTGTTGCCTCGATCTGCACATGTGGTTCTTATCCTGAATGCCAGCGTGTCCGCCTGCCGTGACCAGCCCGACGTGAGTACCCGCGTCTGCGGCGTGAGTCGCCTCTCCTCCTCCCTCTGTTGCTTCCTTTTTTCTTCCTTCCTCCTCTTTCGCCCGCGTGGGTCCCCAGAGCGAGTGAATTGGACATCGTCCGATATGTCTGCGCACTCGCGAGCTGCCTTTCTGCCCGGGAGATGCTGGCCCATCTTCGGCGCGGTATCTCGTTTGTTTCTGCTCTTTTCCCTTCCCGTTCCTCCGCCCTCGCTTTCCTCCTCCTCCTCCGCCCTTCCCACCGGGTCGTTCTTCGGAGCGCCCAAAGCTGCGCATCTGTGCGCCTTGTCCGCACCGGCGCTGCGCGGCGCGGCCCGCGGTCTGTTTAGGATTCTGCCGCTATCCCTCGCGACGTTCGGGTCAGGGGCACGTGGCCCGCGGGCGCGCTGGGGTTCGACGCGCGCTTCGCCTCGAGCTCCGAGGAAAAGGAAAGCGAACAAAATCTTCTTGCATCGGTCACTTTTCCTCCTTCTTCCCCCGCCCCCACTCCCCCTTTCCCTTCCGCACCCGCTCCCCCCTCTTTGCCGGCGCCGCGGCGCCGTCGTCGACGTGGTCGTCGTCGTCGTTGTCGTCGTCTCTTGCTCCGCGATCCTGCTTGTTTGGTTTGTTGTTTTGGAAAGGTCCGCGGCGGCCGCCTTGTTCAAAATGGCTCAGAGAGGCCCCCCTAAGCCAAATGACGACCCAAGACGCCCAGGAAAATCTCCGAAAAGCTTAGGGCGCTTCGAAGGCGCCCAGAGAGCTTCCCCGCAACCTTCCCGACATCTCTACAAGACGGCCGAAAGGGCCCCGAGACAACCCAAAAAGGCCCCGCGACTGCCCAAGAGGGCCCCGCGGGGCCCCCAAGACAGCTCCCGCGTGGCCCCAAGACGCCACCAAGAAAACCCAGTCACGCCCGGAGCCTTCCATGACGGCCCACAACAGTTCCATGAGGGACGGCAAGGATTTCGACCATGATGGCGATGACGATGACGATGATGATTATTCTGAGCATGGTGATCATAATGAAGATGATGACGACGGTGATAATGGTGATGCTGATGATGGACAGGGTGATGGACAGGATGATGGACATGCCCGCCAGCCCCCATTTCACGTGCTCCAGAAACTCCTGTTCATGATCACGTAAACGGACGATGACGATGACGAGTACGATGATGATGACGTTGATGACGGTGGCAATCATGGAAAATGATGAACATAACGATGACTGGAAGATGATGATGGTGATCATGGTGATGTTTATAATTCCCATGAGGACCACGCTCTGTTCTGAGCGATTACCATCACGATGCTGATGACGGTTGCAATGGCGATGATTATGATGATAATGATGACGATGATGATTCTGCCAATGGTGGTGATGACGATGATGGTGATGATGGAGATGCCCGCCAACCCCCAATTCATGTTATCCGAAACGTCTCTCCGGAACGCATCAACATACGATAAGGATGGCGACGGCGATGGCGACGACAATGACGATGATGAGTATGATGATGACGACGGCGACCACGAAAGTGATGAAAATTGTGATGTTGATGATGTACGCGAGGATTCTGATAGTGACGATGAGGAGATCGATGCTGGTGACGCTTTTCGGTTGGATTCGCTTCGAGATGTGCGCCAAAGGAATGGTAAGATCCAGAGGGCCAGGATCCAGTGTCAGACAGGGACCGAGGAGGAGGAAGAGAAAAACAAACAACAACAACAACAACAACAACAACAACAACAACAACAGGGACGACGACGGGGACGTCCACCAGGACGAGAGCGAACCTCAATGAGGTTCGCGTTCGCAGCCATCATGCTCCGTGCGGCGGAAGTGGTTGGGGCCTGAATTAGAACCGAAGCGCGCGCGAGGTCCTGATACACATATACATATACACATACAGACATACAAACACAAGTGGCATGTGCGTGCCCAGGCTCACACAAACACATGTGCAGGATGTGTGGGTGGTGTGTGTGTGTGATGCGTGCGTGTGTGTGTGTGTGTGTGCGAATGTGTGTGCGTGGTGTGTTATGGGTGATGTGTATTGTGTGCGTGTGTTGTGTGGTGTGTATGTTATGTGTGAATTATGTGTTCTGCGTACCATGCGTGGTCGCTGTGTTGTGTGTGCGATGTGCGTGTGTGTGTGTGTGTGCGTTTGTTGCGTGTGCGTGTGTTGTGTGTCCGATGTGTGTGCGTGTGTGTTTGTATGTGTCGGTGTGTGTTGTGCATTCGATTGTGTGCGTGTGGATGTTCTGTGTGTTGTTGGTGTTTTGTGTGCGCTCTGTTCTGTGAATTCCTAAGCCGAGGCTCGATTCTGGGATGAGGTCCCAGGCGAAATCGCATGTTTCAAAAAGGGCTAGGTATTTTGAGGATGTCTCAGGGGAGACTGCCATGCTTGACAAATGATACTTGAAACCCATTGCATGTTTTTGAACGCTTTTGGTTAAACTGTTGGAAAGCTGTTGTGTTTTTCGGCCGCCTGCATGCCGATATTGGTTCGGTCTGGTTTTCGGCCTGGTATTGGACTGGCGTGCCTATGTGCATTCCAGTGTTCGGTGCTCTTGCAAGTAGGAAGTCGTATGCGATTGAGTAAGTGGTGTCATGTCTTATTCGGTTTCCCAAGGGACGCGGGACAATCGACGGGACAAATTCAGGCCAACCCGCGGGACAACCCACGGGGCAACCGCGGGACAATCGTGGGCCAACCGTGGACCAACCACGGAAGGCAACCGCGGGAGCAGGATTGATGTTGTTGGCTTTGGCGTAGCAGTGACAGATCGGGCCATCGCGCAAATCCGTTTCGCCCGCACGCGCGACGCGAACTGGAACCGAACTAGATGCGTGTAATTGGGGTCGCTCCGTTTTCGCTCACAAATCTGTGTATGTGAAGGTGCATGTGTTTTGTATCTACGTATGCGTATCATTCGCAGTGTGGGGATCACATCACATACACATGTGTACACACATGGCTGTACATTTCTGTATCGACATATACAAACATGCGCATGATGTTTTGCGTGTTCGGTCGCGATTGTCATGTGCCGGTTGATGTGTTTCTTTGCTTGTCATATCGTTGTCCTTTGTGTTGTTTTTGTTCCATCCGATCTTCCCCCCCCTCTCTTCACCCCCACCCCCCTCCCAATCCTCGAGTAGGGGATCTACTTCAGAATTAACGTACCCGAAAATTAATTTCCCCGCCGAATCTATGGAAAAAAAGCGTAGAACGTTCCGTAAATCGACGGAGCAGCCCACGTGTGTTTCGCAAATTCGGCGGGAACATCGGTGATGGGGTAAAACAATTCTGTAGTCGGTCCCCGACTCGCAATCCTTGTTTTCCTCACGTCCCTTCCCTCCTCTGCCTGATCCACCCCCCTGCCTAGGATTCCTCCTGCTCCCCGGCCTACGAGGGAGAGGGGTGGGAGGTGGAGTAGGAGGAGGAGGAGGAGGAGGAGGAGGAGGAGGAAACAAACACGCACGAAATCGTAGAAGAACGGACTGGGAGTGGACGTCTGAGCGATGGCGCGGCCCCTGCCCTCGCCCCTGCTCCTCGTCCTCATTCGCCGCCGCAGCCTGAAGTACACCATCCTCACCGGAGTCGCCCCCGGCGTGTTCTCTGCGGCCATGGAGAAACCGGAGGAGGAGAAGGCGTACGAGCAGGAGGAGGAGGAGAAGGAGTAGGAGAAGGAGGAGGAGGAGGACGAGGAAGAGTTTGAGGACGAGGACGAGGTCGAGGACGAGGACGAGGTCGAGGACGAGGACGAGGACGAGGAAGAGGACGAGGAGGAGGACGAGGACGAGGACGAGGACGAGGACGAGGACGAGGACGAGGACGAGGACGATGACGAGGACGAGGAGGAGGAGGAGGAGGAGGAAGAGGAGAGGGAGGAGGGGGAGGAGGAGAGGGAGGAGGAGACGGAGGAGGAGAGGGAGGAGGAGAGGGAGGAGGTGAGGGAGGAGGAGAGGGAGGAGGAGGGAAGGAGGAGAGGGAGGAGTAGAGGGTTTCAATCGTATACGAATCACATACGAATCGTATACGGATCATGACCACGTTCGAGCTCAAGTACATGTGTTTAGCTGAGATCACGATGGGCCGTCGATGATCGGACCGATCGCAGCCGCTTTTTCGGATTCCCATTGGGCGGCTTCAAGGAGCTCAGCGCACCCAGAAGCGCTCTTATCATCTCTTCATTAATCGAAGCCCTGTTGAAACGACCCAAAAGCATCGCAACCACTTCGGACACATCGCAACTGGTTGCAATCGGTCCAAAGTGGTTGACGATCGGTCCGGAGTGGTTGCGATCGGTCGTGCTCGCGGCGGGACAGGGAGAAGAGGAGAAGAGGAGGAGGAGGAGGAGGAGGTGGAGGTGGAGGTGGAGGAGGAGGAGGAGGAGGAGGGAGAGGAAGAGGAGCAGGAGGAGGAGGAGGAGGAGGAGGAGGAGAGGAAGAGGAGAGGGAGGAGGAAGGGGAGGGAGGAGGAGGAGGAGGAGGAGGAGGAGGGAGGAGGAGGATGACGAGGAGGAGGAGGAGGAGGAGGAGGAGGAGGAGAGGGAGGAGGAGGGAGGAGGCCCGGGAAGAGGAAGGGATGGAGGTGGAGGAGCAAGTTTCCAGGAAGGTCAATGCTGTTTGCATGATGTCTTCGAAGGCCTCCAAGATGCTCTGCACATGTGGGGGTGGAGGGACGGTTGGGGTAGGATTGACGAAGGATGTCGAGGATGAGGAGTCGGAGGAGGACACGCATCTGTACGGTGGACATGTGTTTCGAGGGCGAGAGGGGGTGCAGACGATCGTCGTTTTTTGTATATGCTGGGCTGCGCATGGTTCGATCGATGGAACCACGCGTGTCGACGCTTGTGCGCGGTATCCACTGGTCCGATGACGCGTATTCTGGTTCGGTGATATTCAGGACGTGTGTTAGCCCAATGTGTGTTCACCCCGTTCAACCCAACAAGTCGATCGTCACATCGCTTCCGTCGTTGTCAAGGGCCTTGGTGGGCAAACATACGTTGGCGCTGACACGTTCTGAGGATCATCGACTGGTGGATCGTTTTGCCTGACGAAACGAGCATTGCGATCGACCTACGATCATTGGCAGCTTCTGGCCAGCTGTGGGCCGCCCACTGGCCGCGAGGAGCTGAAGCTCGGCGCGTGTTCGGGCCGGGACGCGCACTGTCGCTCACGCGGGTGATCCGCAGGAAGAGCAGCATCACAAATGTGTCCAACCCCAATGCACCCCAATGGGGGCGATTCGGACGCACTCCATATCGAGGATGGACGCCCCCCATCCTAGATCCCAGGCTTAGGCCCAGAATGTCTGGTCCAGCAGGGAACCCCACGAAGACAGGGACAGGGGTCGACATATCCCCTTTTAGAGAGGCCCAAATCGGCGGCGAGCGAGGGGTGGAATTGTAAAGGAGGAGAAGGCCTTCTCAGAAAGGCGGCGGCACTTCTCAGAAGCCCTCGCGCCTTCTGAGGTGTGTTCTGTGCCTTCGAGGAAGGCTTAGAAGACTTCTCGGAGGGGCGGGGGACTTCCGAGCCTTCTTAGAAGGCCTTCTCCTTCTCTCACTTCCCGCCCTCGCTCGGCGCCGACTGATACAGAGACGAGACATCGAGTACGAGAAGTCGAGAACGATAAATGCATAAGCACCAGCTGTCGGAGCTTCGCGCTTATCTTTATGAGACGACGCCGGGTCCGACCTTGCGATGCTTTTGGCACGGGGAAAGCCGTCCTACAGTGGGGGCCCACGCCAAAAAAACACCCTGCTTGCCTCCAGGGTGCCCTGGGTTTCTTGGGTTTCGATGGCTTTGCTGTGGAAGGCGTGACGTTCCCTGGGTCTCAGGGTTGGGCTTCTTCTTGTTGAATGTTTCTGGTGGTCGAGCTCCTACTCTAGGGCTAACGATGCTGACTGCCCAGACCTTTTGCTCCCGCCTTCCCCGACCCCTCTTGCCCCCTTTATTCTCGGCGGCGGGTTTCTGCTCGAGCTGACCCCGGAGAAATTCCTGCCTCGCTCGCAGAGCACCCGTTCCCTTGTCTCCAGTCGACAGCCCCACAGTGGGGCTTCATCCTCCCCAATCCTTCCAACGAAGACCTCCCAGTAGTTGCCTCCTGACATTCCCTGGTGGTGCTTCCCACGTGGCACTGGCCTCCTGCGGCCCCACGGGCGTGCCTTCTCCTCGCCCAGGTTCTTCTGCCGGTACATCATGACGTGCGACGCGCTGCGTCGACAGGCCAGGGGCCTCCGTCTTCTCGGCTTCTCTCTCTGCCTCTCTCTCTCTCTCGTGAGGATCGCAGCCGAGCAAGACCAGGACCATTAAGAACAGATGGAGGAGTATTACACTGAGCTCAGTAGGCTGTGTGAATTCCGTCCACGGCTGCCCACAGTCGAGCCTTGTTTGGAGGCACGTGGCAGTGCGCGACACACACTGTCCGTACTCGACTTGCTTGCTTGCTCTCTGTCTCTGTCTCCACTTCGTTCCTCCCATGCCTCGAAGGAGAAAAAGCGGCATAATCATAAACTTTCGGCGCTCCGCGCGGATTTCTTGGATCCGCGCTTGGCCCCTCCAGCGCCGCCACTGGCGCGCTCCGCGCGCCAGGGGCGGGGGTCCAGCGCAGATCCAAGACTTCTGCGCGGACCGTCGAAAGTTGTTGTTTATGCCGATTCTTATTTTTTTAATGACGCATGACAAAGGAAACGGGAAGGATTGAGTCGAGGTACCATAGGTTGGGTCAAGTCACCCCGGTGGACGGGCTCTTCGGGATGGTCGCCCCACGGGCCTTGTGGTGGTGGGGGATGAGGGTGCTTTAACCCGTGCGGAAGTTGCTCCCAAATCTGTCACACTGTGGTTCTCACCTCAGTGTTATGCACGCCCACCTTACTGTTATTCACGATCATCTTAACAGTTTCCCGTGTTTAGGCTAATGAAGGGTGTTTTGTTTTCAAGTTTGGGCTCTCGCCTGATGTTCCTTCTTATGCGCAGCATGCCATTCAGATGTTTGCAACCGTCGCATCGGTGAAGGATGTTTTTGTTGTCCAACTGTGGTTTTGGATTCAAGTTTTATTGTGCAGCTGGGCGTAGACATACATGTAACAGTTACAAGGATGCATGGCTGTAGTCCGATGTCCAAACCTCATGTCTGTTGGGTCCTCTTCCTGAAAGGGAGACTCCTCTCGCCCCGCTCCTCATTCCCGCCTGCTGGCTGCCTCCTGCCTGCTGTCCTCGCCTCGCTCTTGTTCATCTCCCGCCTCCCTCCCCCCGCCTCCAGCCTCCTGCTGCCTGCCGCTGCTTCTGCGCCCTTCGCAGAAGTAATGTTGCAACTGTCGCACTTACCTGCGCGGTTGCCAGCTGGGGGGGCTGCCAGCGGCTCTCTGTTTCTTGGGGTGTGCAGGGCCCTGCCGCTGGGTAGTGGCGCGCCGCCTGTGCAAAGCCGCACCGCTACCCGACAGAACACGTGATGGGCCTCCCTCCAACAGAGCTCGTTTTTCAGGGTCTTGGCGACAACGGCCGCGATCGCCCCTCTCCCTCCCCCCCGCGGATCACGTCACGTTATCTCGTCCACATGTGCACAAATTGCCTACGGATTCTCCAGGGGCTTCCAAAGATGTCTGGCGCCCCCCGCCGTGATGTGATCGGGGGGTCAAGTTCCCACCCGCCCCTCCCCCGATCGCGCCCGCTATCGCGAACAACAAGAGCAGGCTCCAAGACCGTCCGCCCGCCCGAGTGGCTGGCGAGGTGCCCGCTCTGACCTGTGGCCGCCGCTGGCACTCGCATCATATTCCGCCGGAGGATTGTCCCCATTCCAAGATCGGGGGTGGACAGAACCCCCAACAGTGACACGTCGATTAGTGAATTGTCCGTTTTCGGTTCTCGAGAGGGCGCCGTGGCCGTTATTTGTCCAGGCTTGCGCCCGCCAGGTTTGGGCCTCAGGTCGTTTTCACTAAACCACGTTTTACTAAAGGGGGTCTGTCCATCCCCGACATGAGCTCCTGGGAGGCACAGCGGAGCGGCGGCGACGACGACGACGTTGTCGTCGGCGGCTCCCGCCGGAGATGCGCAGGCGGAGCCCGACGCCGCCAGGGTGGTGGACGAGATGGTCGGCCAGGAACCTCCCCGCGGGTGGGGAAGAAGAGCTCATGTCGATTCGTCCGACTCGATTCGTCTCGATTTCGATGCGTTCCAATTCCGGTTCCATTCGGTTTCGGATTCCGATTTGGGCCTCAGTTTCTTTGTGCTGACGGTTGCCGACTGCCGACGATCCGATTCGTTTCGATCGCCGATTTGGCTGATCGATTGGATTCTGGGCTCTTCTTTGGGAAGTCGGATGCAACTCCTGGGATGTCAAATTCAGGTTTTGCCCTGGTCCGAAATCCGGTTTAATCTGGCCTAATCCCGCTTAATCCAGTTTCATTCCGCTTAATCCCGCTTAATCTGATTTAATCCCACTTCATCTGGAGCCTTTTCCGGCGTAATTAACAGCCTCCCAATGGGGCTCAATCCTCCTTAATCCTTCTGACGAAGACCTCCCAGTAGTTGCCTCCTGAGGGAGGGACCGGTCGCTCTCAGCCCTGTGCTGCATGGTCGTCGTGCGCGCGCCAGCCGCGCACTGGTCGCGGGCCTCGTCCAGCCGTGAGGACGGGTCCCACGGGGCTGCCTCTCCTGCGGGCGCGCACAGCGCGTCGGCAGAGCCCGCAGGGAGAAGGGAGGGGCGGGGGGGAGGGAGGGCGGGGGGGAGGGAGGGAGGGAGGGAGGGAGGGAGGGAGGATGGGAGGCAGGAGGAGGAGGAGGAGGAGGAGGAGGAGGAGAATAGGGGAAGGGGTTGGGGGAGGGGGGTGGGAGGGGTGTTTCTGCGGATGCGTCTGTGGTTTTTCGGGAAGGGGGCGGCCCCTTCTGGGCAGGTGGTGCTGGGCCAACAAGACCGGACAACGTCCTGAGGCGGCTCGAACAAGAGCAGGGCAGAGCTCGCTCGCCATTTTGGGCCTCCAGGGGGCGGTTTCTCGGCCCCGTGGGCCGTCAAGGCGCGGCCAGAGTCTGCCAGAGAGAAAGATGCGGCCCAGGAGGGGGAGGGCCGAAGGGGCCCACGCTTCTGGTATTCTGACCAGCCTGGCCCGAGAAAGAAAGGGTGGCGGGACCCTGAGCTCCTGGCTTTGCATTTTTTTGCAGCGGGCGTTTGCGCTCAATGTTGGGCCCCGGGGCCCTCGCAGATCGATCCGGCTCGAAAAATGACGCAGAGAGACGGGGTCCGAGGCTCCGGTCGTGATCTTTTGCGATGTTGCAGTTCCTTGGCAACGGCAGATCTCCGGGGAAGGGGGGGACAGAGCGGCCGCAGCTCTGCTGCAAGAGCAGCCGGCATGATGGGCTGCCCGACGAGCGTCGCACGTGCTCGGGCAGGCCCTCCTTAGGCAAGCGCGTTCCACTACTCGCAAAGGAACTACTCCGCACATGGGCTGGGGTCCGCCGCGGGGGATCTACGAAAAAGTAAATCGAGGCAGGCGGTGGTCCCTCGGGCATTTGCGAGCAGGCACTCTGCGAGTAAGTGGGCGCGCTCGGTGAGTCCTGGCCAGGCACCGCCCCTGGTCTCGGTATCGTCTAGCCGATCCCCATCCCCATCCCCTTCGAGACCCCCACCAAGTTACCACCCCAGTTGGGGATACACCCCTCGAAGCCCGAAGGAAGCGGCCTATATCACCATCTAGGTGGGTAAATCGGCCAGTGGGGCCCAGGCCACGCCTCTGGGGATGGGGATCGGTTAATCGATACTCATGGTCCGCCGCGGAGGGCTCGCTGGGGCACTGGCCGGGGACTGGCGCCGCAGGGAGGCTGCCGGGCCGTGTGGCTGGCCTTACTTCAGCCGGGCGTGTCCCTCTACAGGAGGAACATTCAAAGATAGTCAAAAATCGTCTGTGAACGAGTTGTTCTACTCTGTTTGATCATTTTTGAACATTTGTACTACTAGTTTTCACTGTTCTTCCACAATCCGCCTGTAGGAGGACGTGCCCGACCTAAGGCTGGCCCTACGGAGGCCGTGTGCAGGTTGCTAGCTGCAGAGGGCCGGGGTGGTGGCGGTGAAGGCTGCGCCCCCGCGGTGGCACCAGTTGCACAGAATACCTGTCTCGTCGCTCTTCGACTCTCTAGGCCTCCCAGATGGGGTCGGAGGATCGCGCAGCATCGCCGATGCATCGGCGATGCGGCGCGATGCGGGGCCCGATTTTCTCCACGCCGTCGTCGCCGATGCATGGCCGACGTCGCCGATGCACTGCCGATGCATCGGCGATTTGTCGGCGATGCGGTGCGATCCTCCGACCCCATCTACTCGGACCCCATTTGGGAGGCCTCCAGGCGTGGTGCGGTGCACAGTTTTCTGGCCCTCAGAGCCGAAAGATTGTGCACCATACCCCGTTAGAGCGAGGCCTGAAAGCAGTCCAAACATGGCAATTAATTACCATGCATGAGCGCTGTTCTCGTACCAGCTGCACGACGACAACCAGGAGGGAACAAAAACACAGACACAATTAATCGTCGATTCCCTAGAAGAATATGGAGAAACATGGGAAGTGGGGGAAGACAAAAACCCAGAACATATTGAAAAAAAATTGGGAGTCCTGTTATTCAATCGCTTCGCTCATTCCGCCGGCCCTCGAGCGCTCTATGGGGCCTCTTTGAAGCCTCTTGGGGGCCTCTTTGGGGCCTCCTAGGGGCCTCTTGGAGGCCTCTTGGGGGTCTCTTGGGGCTCCTTGGCGGCGTCTTGGGGCCCCCTTGGGGGGCTCTTGGGGGCCTCTTGGGGCGGGGTAGTCGAGTGCACCCCCCTCGGAGGCCACGATCCCCGTGAGGGGTGTCGAAAAAAAGGCCGTCAAAACCATCTCTGAGTAGACCTGGGCGGGCTGCGGTCGGGATACTTTTCGCCGGGGGACCCCCAGGGGCCGCCCCGCGCGCGCGAACTACATGGGAAGTGGGGGGAAGTAAAGAACCCAGAACAGATCGACAAAAGATTGGGAATCCTCTTATTTGTGTATATTTATGTGTGTCCCAGGGCCCCTTCAGACAAGGTGTTCGATGGGCCTGTCGACGTGGAGGCGGACGGAAAGCCCGTTTTTCCGCCGAGCATCCCGTGGAACGACCCCGCGGGGGCGAGACCGCTCGCAGGAGGGGCGGAAGCAGAGGGCAGAGGATGTGGAGAACTCTGGCAGGAAGGTCGTCGAGACCACCGTGAGGGCGGTGGTGGACAGGAACGCGGACCGTCTGGCGCGAGGGCAGGGAAGTCGAGCCCAAGGGGGCCAGGAAGAACGGAGACGCCGCGCCCCTTTCCTGGACTCCTGGCTTTATTCGGGCGTGTCCCTCCCTCTGCAGGACGAATATTATTTGATCATTCTTGAGTGTTTTTGGATGTTTTATTTTTCACCAAATTCCGCTTGTAGGAGGACATGCCCGACCTAATCCTGGCTCCACCGCGACATCCTTGGAGAGATCCAGCAGGCGATGCCCGACCAGCCCGACACCACCACCTCACCGCTGGCTTCTCCCACAGCGTCGGCAGCCCTGTGCATGGCGAGCCCACCGGTGTGAGCTGGCGGGCCCAGCTGCCGCGCGCCATTCTGCTGCGTCTTGCCCTGTGAGGACGACGATGGGCAGTCGGAAAAGGCCGAGGCCGGCCGTGTGCAGCCGGTCTCCGCACCGCCGTTGGGCGTGTGTCCTCCGCGCGCGCGGTCGTTTCTGGCGCCTCGGGGCTGCCTGGGCGCAGCGCAGGTTCCGTCCACACGTGCGAAGCAACAGATTCGAGCAGGGGATCGACCACACAAGTGACTTACCGCAAAACCTATGGTCCCGCCGAATCTACGAAACAGATATGTCAAATGTCCAGCAGATCTACGAACATTGCGGGAACATGATTTTTGGAGTAAATCAATTCTGTAGTCGATCCCCTATTCGACAGAATGAGGGTGAGGCGTTGTCGCCCCCCCCGGTCGGGGGCGAAGATAATCACGTGGGTTTTCTGTTGTTTCCTCCCGTCGCCGTGGTCGCCCGACCCCCCCACGCCGCATACGTCTGCAACGACGTCCTGCAGTCGGTGGCGGCGGTCCAGGCGCGCGGTGACGGGAAGGCCAGCGGCGGCTCCTGCTTGCAGATAGACTCAACCGCTCTTGACAGACAGGACCCCCTTGGTCGTCGTCTTGGCTTTCAGGGGTAATGAAGATCGTGTGCTCCCCCGTGTCTTCCACCCCGTTCTTCCTCCAGATCATCCTCGCCGCGATCGCCTGACGAGGCGCTGCGAGAGGCGAGCCTGGACCAGTGGAGGAGTATGCCCCGAAATCCGACGCTGCGAAAAAGTCGCAACATCATAACAAATCACGCCTGGTCGCATACCCCATCCTTCTGCGCCGTTTGTCCAGCCGTATCGATCCGTGAGGGTCCCAGGAGCCCGAAGTTGTGCGAAAACGCGCGGCTCGGACAAATTGTTACGCCAGGCTTCAGAGTGGCCTCGGTCGCCCGTCGGCGGACACTCTTTTCCTGGCCTCGCGGTCAACCTGCACCGTGCTAGTTTGTTCTGGCTCCCCCACCTCTTGGGATGGTGGACTGGTTGTCGAGCTCCCTCCAAACCGAGAGCTAAAAGCTGCGGGCAGACAGCGTTACACACATGTTCCGAGCTTTGTTTGGGTGGAGAGAAGGGTGGAATCTGAAATGCCGTTTCGATTGATTTTCGAGGCTTGAATCTGCAAAAGGTGAATCACAAGATGGATTGATTTTCGAGGTGCAAATCCCATATGGATTTTACCCTGAGCCCTCCACCCTATGAACATGTCCAGATGTTCGGCATTCTATGCGAATTACTGCTGCACGCCTTGCGGACCAACTGCGGTGGACGCCCGTCTCGCGGCCCTGATCCGATCGGCCGCACTGGGAGGCTTCGCGCGCGGGGGGGGCCCTCGGCAGCGCGCGCCGCCGCCGCGCGCGCCGCGCGCGCCGCGCGCCCTCGAGGAGGACGCGGGCGGGCTCGGCTGGTGCGCCCGCGCCGCGCCCCGCTGGCCCGTCTCGGGCCGAACGAAAGGGGGGGAGGGAAAGGGCGGGTTACGAAGTCTGCTGCATGCGGCTGGTTTCGGCCCCGCCGCCGGGCCCATTCCTCGATACATGGGCGCCTGCGGCGCCGGGAGGCGCCGGGAAAGTCATCTACTTGAGCTGATTCTCAATCCCCCCATTTGCTATCTCCCCCTTTCGCCCGGCCCGACCGTCGGCCGCTTCTGTTCTGTTTTGTTCCCTTTCGGGCAAGAGTTAAGTCGGGCCTGTCCCTCTACAGGGGGAATATTCAAGTCTGGTCAAAAAATAGTCAGGGGACGATTTTCGGACTATTTTTGAATAGTTGCTGAAGATGTTTTGAATCTTCTCCATTTCTCCTCCCAAATCCGCCTGTAGGATGACATGCCCGACCTCAGGCAAGAGAGCAGTCGGCACGGAGGTTGAAGTAGGGCAGTCGGTTTAGGAGGGCCGTCGAACCACGGAGGTCTGCGCAGTCGCCCCCGTGCTCCTCCGTCCCTGTTCGGCCTGGGCGCTTCGCCTGATCCCGAGGGCCTGGCGTCGCAATGTTTGCACAGCTGGCGGTTCCGCTCCACTTCGGGACCCGAGACGCTCACAGATCGATCCAGTTCGAACAATGACGCAGAAGTATGGGGTCTGGGGCTAGGGTCTCGGGCTTGTTTTGCGATGCTGCAATGTTGTCGCAACGCCGGATCTCGGGGGAGATTCCTTGCCACCAATGACCCTGAAGCTTGAGGTTCCGCACCAGCTTCACGGATGGAGGCTGGGCAGTTTTCAAGATGTGGGTTCTCGCCTTCGCGCCGAGTGCAGTCGCCCCAACAGTTCGCAGTGCTTGTCTATTGCTCGGACCACAACGCGCGTTATGGCCCCTGCGCCCCCTCCCCTCACGTATCGCTCTGGCCCCCAGTGTGCGCCTTCGGTACTGCCGCCGTGCGCATAGGGATCCGCATAGCAACCCGAACAGGGATCCGCAAAGGCATCCGCACAGAGATGAGACCGTTTCTTTATTGCTTGGGGCATGACGGGCGTCATGGCCCCCGCTCCCCCCCCTAATGACGTAACGCTCCCTCTCCTTATGACAAAATGGAGCGCTTGTGGATTCCACAGAAAACAATAGAGCATAACCGGTATGGACATCATAGCGCCTCTGGAATCTACGAGTCCTCCCGAGTCCGCCCGCATCACCCTAAGTCCTCCCATCTGCGGCCAGGATGCTCCAGGTAAATTGGCCGTCCGAGAACTAAGTGGACCGATTCAATAGACCATTATGCGGTGCGCGCTGAGATGCGCACGTGCGCTGTAGCGCCAGCCCGCACGACAGGGGGTAAGGAGGAGGAGGGGGCGGAGGAGGAAGAGGGGGAGGAGGAGGAGGAGGAGGTGGTGGAGGTGGACGAGGAGGGAGGAGGGAAGAACGTCGCATTCGATTATCAGCACTTTCTTGGCGTGGCGTCTCGTTGTCCGCAGCAGATCCTCACGTACATGCTCCCTTCTACCTGTCCTATGCACGCAGACATTGTGGTGTACACCAGCGGTGCGTTGCACGTGTGCACCAGCGGTGCGTTGCAGCGGTGCACAGGCGCTGCGGTGCACGCAAGCACTGTGGTGTACACAGGCGCTGTGTTGCACATGGTAGCTGCGGTGTACACATGTACACCGGCGCTGTAGTGTACGCAAGCATTCTGGTGTACACTGGCGCTGCGTTGCACACGGCTGTTGCGGTGTACGCAGGCGCTGTGGTATACACGTGGGCGCCCTGTGTTGCACGCGAGCGTTGTGGCGTACACAGGCGCAGTGGGGCATATCGCCATCTACATGTTACTCGCCGCGTCGTCGTCGTCGTCGTCGTCGTCGTCGTCGTCGTCTCTCGTCGCTCGTCGCTCGTCGCTCGTCGCGTCGCGCGCGCGGGCGCGGCTGCGGTGCCGGAGTCACACGGCGGGGGTGGCATTACGTCATACCCCCCCTCGCCCCCCCCCGATGAAGCCCGTCACCGCCGAACATAAAGAAACGCTCTCGATAGGGATCCGCATTGGGAGTCCCAGGGGCCCTTATACAGATCCGCGTAGGGATTTGCAAGGGGATCCGCATAGGGATCCGCGTGGGGATCCGCATACGGATGGTGCTCGCGGGCAAATTGCGATGCTCTCAGGCACCTGTGGTGTTCTTAGGTCTTAGGAGAGAGAGAGCAATAGGAGGAGAAGGACGACGACGACGACGACGTGACGCATACCTCTTATACGCCACGTGGAGACAACGACGCCTTCGCTGGCATGTGCTCGTCGCAAATCATCGTCGCTCTTCGTTGTCGGTCGTCGTCGTCGTCGCTCTTCGTTGTCGGTCGTCGTCGTCGTCATCGTCGTCGCTCGTCGTCGTCGTCATATTCGTCGTCGTTGTCGTCGGTCGTCATCGCTCGCGATCGCTCGTCGTAGTCAAACGCCTTCGAATACTTTCGAGGGCCTCTGGCGGCCTTCGGATGACCTCCAGAAGGCCTCTGGAGGTGGCCTCAGGAGCCTCCGGAGGTGAAATGAAACTTCCGGAGACCTCTGGAGGCGTCGCTCGTCGTCGTTGCCGTCGTCGTCGTCGCTCGTCGTCGTCGTCGCTGTCGTCGTGGTCGAGGTCGTGTTCGCTCGTCGTCGTCGTCGTCGTCGTCTTCGTCGTCGCCGTCGTCGTCGTCGTCGTCGCGTCGTCGTCGCCGTGGTCGCCGTCGCCGTCGCCGTCGGCGTCGTCGTGCTCGCTCGTCGTCGTCGTCGTCGTCGTGTTCGTTGTCGCTCGTCGTCGTCGTCGTCGTCGCCATCGTCGTCGCTCGTCGTCGTCATGCGCGCGGACGCTTTGGTGGCGCCAGAACCGCACGGTGCGGCGGGGGCGTTATGTTATACCCCCTTCATAACGCCTGGTACCGTTTCGAATAATGCGCGCTCCAAGCAGTCTCAAAGATGGATGGCGGTTCTTTTGCAAAATGTGCTTCCCGCCGAATCGTTGCGCACATCCGTCTTGAACGCTTGCAACAGCTTCGTCGGTTCGCATAGTGGAGCTCCCATATTGGCGTTCTGGAGCGATGTAGGATACTGTCAAGGACGCAAAACTACCCTTGATTTCGCAGTGTTGAAGTATTAGGAACGGTGCTCTGGCACGACTCAAGACCATCAGGACGCAGCAGTCATGTTGCTTCGCGGCGCTGAAGTCCCAGGCATGGTGCTTTGGCGTGATTGAGGATTCTC